CCTTGCTTTCAACTGTAGTTACAGCTCCTTGAGCATTTATAATACACTTTTTAATGGAAAGAATTTCAGGCTCTTCTATAAAATTGAATTCAATGTCAAGTCTGAGGGAGAAGAAGGGGTCTTTCAAGCAGTTTTTTACCCAGAAAGCATGTTACAGATTCTAAAAATAGGCTGTGCATACATTAATGGCTAGCCAAATGTATGAGGTAGCCAAAACTCAATGACTGTTGAGCACTTTTTTAACTCCCATTGGCTCCAGGAGGGCTCAGTACTTCACAGAACCAGCCTGAGGGAGAGAGGAGGAGAACAAAGTGAGAATACACAATCCCAGCAGTGCTCTGGCTGTGCATGCAAACCTTTTGCAGTCAAAATGCCCCACAGGAGCATGAAAGGATGTTTCAGTCTCTAGCTCATTTAATCAAGGGCTCCCCCTCATCAGAGGTGTTCAGAGGGAACAATCTTGTCCTATGAACTAAGGACTAAAACAGGAGAGGCTGCTTTGACTTTGGATTGTACATTGAAAAAACCCTTTTAACAGAATAGTGCACATCGTGGGAGAACGGAAAAAAACCCATGCCTTCCCCATGCAGTTTGCATGTATTACAGAGGAGAGGGCTGCCTTCTAAAGCTCACTATTTCTTTCCACTGCTTCAGTAAGTGTATAAAGTTTCAATCTCTCTTGCTTTGGAAATCATTTTGTTGAGCAATAGGTGAACATTTTAGTTATTCAAACACCACACTGGCAACAGAGCTGAATGAGCTGATTGAGCTTCTTTGCAAAGACTCTGGTTTACAAATCTGCTAGCTAAGGCTATAAATGTGACCCTGTTCTTCACTGTGGCATCCAGGCCATCCATGTTCTCTATGCAGGAATGATTTTAAAAAGTCATCAGGCAAGAGCTGACTGATGACTCCAGATTTGAGAGCTGTGATGGCCTTTTGACTTAAGTGACTTGGGGTATTGAGTTGTAAGCAGCAATGAAGTTGTAAGGAGCAATTATTAATGGAGCCAGGCACCTTGGATGCAGTTTTTGCTTTTTTACAAGAGTGTAGAAAGTCAGCTTCCTTCAGAGAAAGAAACCTTGAACAACCAGAGAACTTCTTAGCCCATGGCAGGCATTGTCCCCCTCCTGCCCCTCTTGGGCTCCAGGGTGATGCACCAAAGCTATTCAGACTGGTTTCTAAGATCAGCGTTTTCCAACACCTGAGTTTTGCTGGCAGTATCAGCTAAGGGAAATACCTCTCCTCTCTGCCCCGCTCTGGTTATTCCTGCTCTGTACGTCAGTGCTGTGGTTTTAACCCAGATCTCCTGGCAGGGCTAATCACTATGGTGCAGAAAACAGCTCTGACAGTGCTGCCAAAGCCAGGCTGCCTTCAGATTACAGCCTGCCTCTGTCCTTGAGTTCCAACTTGGCTCCTCCATGACAGTCATCACCTTCAGGTGTTCTTGCCGCAGAGAGGCTCACCTCTGTTTCAGCTGGAGGTGTATTTTGGCTGGTCAGTGCCTGCTGATGTTTCAATAATCCATTTCCATCAAAGAGGTTAATGATCTAAACTGAAGTAGTGAAACCTGCCAACTTCACTGGCCATGCTCACAAAAGATATGATTCATTTTTTCCTTAAGATGAAAACTCCTTGTTACTTAATATGAAGCCTATTTCCAAAAATTACAACTTTAATTATGAATATAGTACAAACGTACAAAAGCCTCTTCCTCCCCTGCAAAGTACGTAGTTCATGGATGTGGAACTATCTGTCCTTCCTGCACATCCATTTTACATTCCATGAAGCAGATAATTTGTGAATTCCACCATTCTCCTCAGCACACCACTAATCTAATGCAAACATGTCTTTTCTGTGTGTGAGCATTTTCCAGCTTTTCTGGAGCCACACAGTAACCCAACTTCCATGATTAACAGTTGTGCCCAGATTTAATGTCTGGTTGGCATTACACTGCTGTAATAGGGACACTCATGACCAAGGAGGAGAGAGGACATACACACGCATGTCCTGCAGCCTGAGCTGAGAATGAGATTAAATTGTGGTGGGCTACCAATTTGTCCACAGGCAGTGGGTGCCAGAAGTGCTCATTGGCAGGATTTAAAGCTGTGCACAGTTCTACTTTTCACTCCCAAAAGGGGATGTTGTATTTCTGGACTTACTGGATTAAGGTTTTTCTGAAACAGGATCGTACTCATAGGGGTACAACAAACTGATCCTGTATGTGCAGCATTCGGCATAAGAGTACTACTACCCTTCATACTTGTAAAACTCAGCAGGATCTGGTCAGGATGCCAGCTTCAAGCCCTTTAGATATAGAATTTTCAGCATAGGCTCATTTTCTGTAAGCAGGCAGTGACAGGCACACAGGGGCTTGTGTTATTTGAATATTTTAATTAAGCTGGAAGCATGGCACCAGTCAGGCTGAAAAATAGAATCAAACATTAAATGCTTGAACCTACAGGATGGTACATGCCAACCCTAGCCCAGCAGAAGATGAGAACCCCCATTCAAGACCTTGCAGAATCCACTGAACTCAGAACTCCTACAAGGTGCTGAGAGTCTCAGAGGTCTGTTGAGTGACACACAGGGTGTGGGCAGGCCAACAATGGCAAAAATCATTCTATTGCAAAGGCAGAAAATACCAGTCAGAATGAGCAGAAGTTAAGTGCTTTCCCTGCTTAAACAGAAGCAATGCAAGGCTGACATCTTTAAAAAAAGGGGAGTTACTCTCGTGGTTCTCTTCCTAGAAGTTTCGCTTCCTTAGGATACGTGCTTATTTTGGCTTAGCACAGCAACTGCCAGAAGAGAAGGCATTTTATTTTCTTGTTTTGTTTTTATACTGAAGAACAGGGAAGACCACCATGTCCTGGAACAAGAGGAGGGATTACAAAAGCCTGCCCTGAACAAAAGGAGCTGTGTGGAGATCTTCCTGCAGTACAGAGGTTCACAATAATTCCTTTCCTGTGAAGCCACACTGAACATTCTGAACAACTAATATGGGATACTCGGGAGATGTCTATTCCAACAGTGATGTGAAAACCCTTTTTGTGGTGATCCAAGGTGAAGTGAGTGGGCCTCTGCCACATACTTTGCTCTGGCCAGGACTATACAGGTCTCTATGGGAAGTGCCTGCTTTCAGGTTGTTCGCTTTGTTTGGTTTTGTATTGCAGCTATGGCCCAGCACTGTTCTCAAGGAAGTTGTTTTGGTGGGAATAGGATCTGCTATGACATCTCGAGTATTGCCTGCCTGTTTCCAAAAATACAGATTTCTTTAAAAAAATAGCTGCAGTTGCTGTATAGTCAAGGCTGCAGCAAACAGGCACGCACCTTTCTGTTTGGAGAAATGGGGCTCAGTTGTTTGCATTCTTTATATATGACTGTGCTTCAGAACAAACCAAAACCAGTTTTGTTCTATAGAAGCTAAATAGATAAAATATACAATTGCGACATCATTGCATTTGTAGGAGTTGGTTTAATATAGAGGCATCTGGCACCTGAATTATGTAGGCAGCTATTTACAACATTATCTATTGAAAAGAGTATGACTTAGTTATTTAATTATACATTTTACAGAAAACTATTAAGTAACTTTCACCTCTGTGCCATTCCATCATGGTTATTTGTGCTATCCCAAGGTGATAGAGCAATGGTCTCCAAGCACTGCTTTTTGGTTGATACCTGTAACAGTAGTCTTGTCTGTGGGCTCTGATGATTTTTCTGAGCAGTTAAACTGCACCTGAATTGTTCCCATGTGAATTCCTGGCTTCCTGAACCACAGCAAAAACTGGCTTAAATTTTATAATACATAGTGTGAGTGTAGTGACCTCTGACCTCCCTAGATTATACAAACAGTAAAGGTCTCTCCTGCTCCAGGCTATGGAATGACCCAGGGAAGTCATCCACTGCCTCCCTTGGCTTTGCCGAGCCCCTCTGCTGCAAAAAGCCTGGTGCCTGAGGCCACTGCCTTCAAGCAGAATCCCCTCCTGGATGATGCATCCCACATCACTGCGCTGTCATTTGCTTCACCTTCAGTATGTATATCTTAACCCCACAGCTTCAAGGCATTTGCAGGCATCCAGGCATCTCCCACACATTTCCTCGCTTTACAGTGCATCTCCCGTTTTGCCAGATGCCTACTGCTGGCTGCTGCAGCCCCTGCCAGCATTCCCTGTGCCCCACTCTCTGGGCGTTAAGGCAGGGCATGCCATGGGGTCCCTGTGGGAAGGAAGGACTGTATTTGTAGGCACAGGCCTCCCCATCTCCCTCCCGAATGCGATGCTGCTGGAGGCTCCCTTAGGGATGGCGTCCCGCCAGGCTATTAAAAGGCTAAAGCAGTCCCAGGCCCCAGCCCCAAACTCCCTTTCTCCTGCTTTTCCCCTCTATACGGGCTCCCCTCTTCCCGGAGGTGCAGTCACGGCTGCCAGGGTCTCCGTCGAGGTTTCCCAATGCATAGCAGGACGCTGGTCAATCCTGTGCGCCGCTGGCGGCTGACAGCCTGACAATCCCTCTCTTCCTCCTTCAGCTGGCCGGGTTGGAGGTTTAAAGAAAAAAAGTAAAAACCAGAAAACTTCTGTGGTCACTGGGAGGGGAAAAAAAATTCCTCATCATGTCTGTTACGTCTACGAAACCGTCCCGAGAAGGAAGAGGAGGATCCCGCCCCGCGGGGACCACAGCGTTTGGCGGAGGGGGTGAGCGCTGGCTGCGAGGCCGGGGTTGGGGAGGTCCCCCCCGCCGTGGACGGGAGGGGCTCTGCCTTCCTGCGGCGCCGAGGAAGAAGGGCCGAGCCACCCTGCTCCCCGCCCCGGGAGAGGGTGAGAGCCGCCCTGCTCAGTGTCGGGGGCTCGGCGGGGCAGAGGCGGAGGTGCCCGGGCCGTCCCCTCGCCACCGGCCACCGTCTATGAGGCACTAGCGAGCCCTCCCTCCAGCGTCGGGAGGCGGCACAGCCCCGGCGGGCAGAGCCGGACCGGGCCGGGGGGGCCGTGCGGCGGGTGGCACCCCCCTTCTCTCTTCCTCCTCCTCCTCTTCCTCCTCCTCCTCCTCTTAACTTGGCCACGGCGGCGCGGGGCGGTGCGCTTCGCCCTGCGCCGGCGACGGGGGATGTGCGGGCGGCGGCGGGATGGCTTCGGCCGTGTTTGAGGGCACCTCGCTGGTGAACATGTACGTGCGGGGCTGCTGGGTGAACGGGATCCGGCGGCTCATCATCAGCCGGCGGGGCGACGAGGAGGAGTTCTACGAGATCCGCACCGAGTGGTCGGACCGCAACATCCTCTACCTGCACCGCAGCTACTCTGACCTCGGCCGCCTCTTTAAGCGGCTCCTCGACTCCTTCCCTGAGGACCGGCCCGAGCTGTCCCGCTCCCCTTTGCTCCAAGGTTTGAGCAGCTTTCTCGGGCCTGGCTCTCGCTGCTCGGCGGGAGGGCGGGCGGGTTCACCGGGGGTGGCGGTGGCCGGGGAGGACGGGCGGGCGAGCGGGTCTCTCTGGACGGAGGGAAGGGGGGTGAGGAGCTGGAGCCGCTGCGGGCCCGGACGGGGTGGGGGGCAGAAAAGCTACGGGGGCGTTTTGCGGTCGGAAACTCCGCCCGGGATGTTGAGATGTTGATTTGTGTTTCCCTTTTTTTTTTTTTTTTTTTTTTAATATACGGTTGGGGGTGAAGGGCTACCCCGCAGCCGGGGGATCCAGCAGGACGAAGACCCCAGTCTCTGTCTCCCGCTGCGCGGCTCCGGACTTTGCTGGGCTGTGGGAGCAGAGGGGTCCCTGTTCGCTCTGCCCCTCTCCGGTGCCTCCGGTCTCCCCGAGGAAGGGCTGGGAGGTGGCTGGAGAAGGGGCGTAGCTGAAAAATCTCTGTATCTTGGTATGTTGTTTGCCACAAGGAGAGGGCAAAAAAAAAGAGGCTGCGACGCTTGCCAGTGGACGGAGCGAGTCTGGGAGCTGGCATAATTCCTCGCATAACTTCTGCAAAATGGGAATTGCACCAGCAGTTAGAGAGTGTTCCCTTCCAGTTTCTGAAGTAGATTAACTCAAGTTGGGGGATGTTGCCCATGCTCAGGTCTCTGTGCAGAAGCAGGATGTACCCGTTAAGCTGTCGTGGGGCTTGGTTTTAATTGGTTTAACGATTGAGGTATTTTTTTAGATAGAGCTACGTGTTTTGCTCTAACACATTTCAAGTGTGTAGAGTGGTGCGGAGCATCCGGTCATGTAAAAATGGATTTATGCGTAGCACTTCCAGTCTCCCCAGTTGTTGAGCTACCACGTAGATGATTTGATTGAACAGGAACGGGGAGGAGCCGATATTCTGTGCATGTTTTCCTCTGTGAGAGGATGGGGAAATTTTCCCTAGCTCTCGCTTCGCCTCTCGCCGTGCTAGTGTGACCCCCTTGCAGAGGGTCTGCGGTTTCCCATTCTCGGGGCTGGGTCTCCACCGCTCATACTGGACTTAATTTCTGGGCCCTCCCTGTGCGACAGAGGGCTCTGTTCCCTGCGAGTGGGGATTGTCTCTCCCGGACTGACTCCCCAAGGATGTTTTCTGCCGGGTGTTTAAAGTGAGACAGGTCTTTTCCATTGTCTTGCCAGATCCCTAACCTCTGGTGATGGAGTAGGGTGGGGTTTTTTATGTGCCTCACATAAAAGTGCTTGTACGTTTCCCTCTCCTTAGCTTCTTTCGATCTCGGGAGCCGCAGCCCGCTTCCCGGCGTGTGTTCCCCGGCGCTGAGCTTTCCCGTTCCCGCTGCCGGGAGGTGGCAGCTCGGCCCCGCCGGCCCCGGGAGCTCCGCCGCCACTCGCAGGCCCTGAGTGCCCTCTGCAGACGGCGGGAACGGGCGCAAGGCAGCCAGGGAGCTGCAAGCCCCGCATCCCCTTGCTGCCCACTCCGGCGTGCGGGGTGGGAGGTGCTTGCGGGGGCTGGGTGCCGGAGGAGGGCTGTCTGCCCCCGCTTGGGTGCGGGCTGGGAATGGGGGGGTCCTGCAGATCCCAGACCTCCACCCCTCAGCTCTGGTGTGTGCCTGGCACATACAGTGTCTTATGCTATTAGGTTGCTGACCACGGATCTAAAGTATTGTGAAAACTTACTACCCTTTGTGTGTGCCCTACATAAAGTACTCAGAATGTGATTTTTAGTAGTGCTGAATGTCTGCAAATTCTAAGTAACACGGCCTTCAAGTGTATATGGCACCTGGGCCCTGGCTTTTGAGGATGCTGGGTCGTTCTGGAGCAAGCCTGCCTGTGGCCTGCAGGGCACAGCATCTGCCAGGGTCACTGTGGCTAAAATTGGGCCTCCCAGGGTGCCAGTAGTCCTTCTTGTTGGCTTTATGGGGCTCTGAAGAGCAGCTTGGCAGCTGGGCTGTGGTGTGTGCTGGGTCTGGCCACAAATCCTTGCTGGCCCTAGCCTCCTGCCCCTCCCAGTGTGTTCCCTCCCCATCCGTTATGCACAGGAGCCACTTCTTGTCCTAAAGCCATTCTCATTCTTCAGTGCTTCTCTCAAGTGAGCGTGGTTTCTCCGATGTCTCAAGGCCTACCACAGCTTTTGCAAAATATTAAACTGTTTTCACATCTCTCTGAGGCATTATTTGTGCAGTTCGAGCCAGATGGGATTACAGTCCCTTGCACTGGCTTTACTTGACAGTCCCAGGTAGCATACACCATTAGTGCATGAATAGCTGGGAAAGATTAACCATCCTCAGACTGCATTGCTCAATCCCTGCCTAAGACCTAGAGCCAGCAACCCTGACTTACCTTTCTCTAAGGAAGAGACATACTGACTTCAGTAGAATTGGGAATGAGCAAAGCATCAGCCCAGGATTTGAAAAATCAAAACCCAATATAAACAAATGATCTATTCAGCTTGTTGAGGGGGTGGGGGTTAACTTTGCAACATAGATAGAATAAAAATCAGGAGTAGTTTCTAAGCAGTCACAGCATGTGTCACAACTTCAGTAATACTCTATTTAAAATTATGCTGCTCCTGCTCTAACGAAAATTATTTTGCAGTGTGCTTCTCTGCCTAGAGAACACTTTGTCATACCAACATTTTAAATTGACTGGCCACAGCCTTGTGTAACTTGACAAAGTTGAAACATAAAAGTCTCATTTAACTAAGTGACACTGATGCAAAGCTTTGGAGGTAAGAAGAGATTGCATGGGGCATGTCTGATCTTTACAAAATTTGTGGGGTAAGCATAATTTCTTAATGTCCTGTTTAAAAGCAGACGTCCTTCTGCCTACAGTGAAGCTCAGTACACTTAATGCAACAAAAACACCTGACAAAAGCCCACTCTTGTGTGTATTAGCATTTAGTCATATACATTTGCGTGTATTTTTATATACATACAAATATATATGCATATGTATGTGAGTTTGTATATGTGTGTGTATTTATCTTGGGCTTTCTGAAAGAAGGTGAATATCAGCTGTGCCTTTTATCTGGAGGAAGGAAGTGGTGAAGTGTTGCAAACCAAATCTGCATTGCATTGAAGGACTCCACGGTCCCTACGGATTTGCCTAAGGAGCATTAAAAGGACTAGCATTATCCTACAGCTCAGTGAAGCTGCAGTATGTTACGTTTAAGGGATATGGTTGAGGAATGAAAGCTTGAGCTATTTGATCTTATTAACTCTTTAAGAGGGTGGTTTTTTTAAAAGAAAGTCAGCAATATTAGAAAGCACCCCTCATCCTTTTGGACTGACTTCCACAATGCTCTCCCCCTCTGTACTTGTTGGAGCTGCTGAGTGCTTTGAAATTGCAGAGGAGAGGATGGGAGGTATAGTTTTCTGTAGTGGCAGTTCATCTTACCCCTTCTTTGATATGAGAAGAGGGGAGGTCCCAGCGGGGAGTCTGGCATTCACACAATCTGGTCTTGTCTTTGATAACTAATAAGAGCACGTGGCAAAGTGCACTCTCTGCATCTGGAGTGTACTATGATGCTGAAGGCCAAGGACATTCAACAACACAAGGCATCTCACTAGTAAGCTGGTAAACAAGGTTATTTATGTGCGTACCTGCAGGGTGACTAAATATGATTCACTGTGATGTTACCTATAACTTGCTAGTACTTTATTCGTCTTTGAAATATGCCTGTCCCTTGCTCTAGGCAAATGTGGAAAAGAGGATCACAGAAAAACACAGGCTAGTTCACTCTTGCAGTGAACACAGCCTAATGTTACTAAACTGTCTGTTTCTGTATGCAAAGTAAACAACTTTTGTATTTAAATCAGTTTATATGAGAAAGGCAGAGCTATGGACTTAAAAGCTGACTTAAAATTGATGATTTAGAAATAGTTACAACAGACCCAATAGAAACCAAAACTGAGGTCTAAAGCTGAAAAAGTACTCTTCCCCCCCCCCTTTTCTCTAAATACTGCTTGTGAGGGGTTCTCATCTAAGATGATCCATCTTCAGTGTAGTCGGACACCTCTCTTGCCTTGACTTCAGTGTGGGCAGAATCAACCCCATAAGCACGGAACCAGAAGGCAAAAGAGCACATTATCAGCCTGTCAAAGTTGGGATTTTTTTTGCTCATGGAGTGGCAGAGTGGTTTCTGACAATCCTCCTCTGGACTTGTTTGTTGCCCTTGTCATCAGAACAGAGGCTCAGATGCTCTTTCAATGTCACTGGTTGTATTGTGCCTATGTGTAGCACCTGGTCCTGCTCTGATACTCTGAGCTGCCAAATCAAAAACTCTCTGACAGGTTTATTTTAATACTAGATAGGCCTCTCTTCCCAAAGTGCTCATTTTCCTCCTTTCCATGCCTCCTCTGACTCATTTGCTCTGTTGTGGTCTTTTTTTCCCTTGCTCTCCTTTCTGTTATTTCCTCTCTGCTCCTCCAAGTTGCTTTCCCTGAGCTGCTTTCTGTTCCTTTTCTTTGCCTCCAGGTTTCCCTCGCTGGCGTGCTGCCATCCATAGTTATCTGTGGCTCTCCAGAACTTTTCTGTTGCCTTCTGCCTTGCTGGTGCTCAACTTTTGTCCATCCATAGAAGCTTTCCGGTAATGGTAGAGATTTCCTATAGAAACTTTACACCTTTAATTTGCCTCATAGCATAGAGGTAGTCACTTAACCTGCAGCAGACCCTGAGCAGTCCCTCACAGATGACTAGTGCTGATCTCTGAGCCTTATGCCTGCCTCTGGTGTGGTTGCCTCATGTGGGAAGCAGATGATCAGCTGTTTTCTGTGTCTTGTCTGAGTGGCTGTGCACCAGGAAGCACATGGTGAGCTCCTGCAGGGCTGCTGCTGGACATGCACAAAGCAGAAGGCAGCTCCTGAAGAGCCAGCCCAGGAACATTGTATTTGCTTGCAAATGTTGCATACATAACTTAGTTTTCTATATGCTGCATTATAGTGTTGTTGTTGTTGTTGTTTACAAGACCATCTGGGAGTGTGA